CACACACACACACACACACACACACGATAGTGAACTGTGGAGCTAGAGTGGTTAGAATCTTGTATGACCTTGGAGAAGACTTGGTTCCTTTGAAATATGAGGATGAAAATAATAGGAGCTTGCTCACAGGATTTTCAAAATAAGTAGATGACTTAACTCAAAAGCCTGGCACATGAAATATGTGTGACACCTAAAATAAGATAATGGAATATTATATAAAATTTGATGTATTTTCTATTTTTAGGATGCAAAGGAACAGATAAACCCTTTAGAAACCACACTGGAAAAATTCCAGCAAGAAAAAGAAGAAATAATCAACAAAAAATATTCCAGCAATAAAACAGCACAGGACAAAGTAAGATTTCACTTATGTATTTACTTAAAAGGTATTTATATTAAGTTTATTTATATATCCCCCTCCCCCTTTTTTTCCACTGTCATGGGGCTTGAACTCTGGGCCTAGGTGCTATCCTTGAGCTCTTCTGCTCAAGACTAGCGCTCTACCACTTTGAGCCAAGCACCACTTCCGGTTTCTGGTGTTTAATTGGAGATAAGTCTCACAGTTTGAGTCATGATCTTCAGATCTCAGCCTCCTGAGTAGCTAGTATTTATTTCATATATAACTATATAGCTTGATGAAGTAAATAGCATTTTCATAATATATATACTGTTTGTGTATGTTGGGGATAGAACCTAGGGCTAGGCAAGCACTGCACCTCAGTCCTTTGATATAATTTTGACATTGGAAATTATTGTTAGATTAGGTAATAAAATTATGTGCTGGGAATGTGGTTTAGTGGTAGAGTGCTTGCCTAGCACGCGTGAAGCTCTGGGCTCAATCCCTAAGTGGTGCTGTGGCTCAAATTATAGAGTGCTAGCCTTGAGCAAAAGTAGCTTGGGGACAGTGTCCAGGCCCTGAGTTCAAGCCCTGGGACTGGTGAGAAGAAAAAAAAAAGTATATTGACCAATAATAGAAGGTAAGAATTGAGACTCCTCCCCTGCATGGTGATAAAGGGACTTATCTGAGATCACAACATTTGGTACTGGTGGAAACTGAAACTCCTTACTTAGAATCCAGTGTTTCACTGTTCTATACTATTACGTGGCCTGTTTTTACACTGTATAAATTTATTAAATGTTTTTCACAGCTGAATGATATCAAAGAGAAGGTTAAAAATATTAATGGTTATATGAAAGACATTGAAAATTACATTCAAGATGGAAAAGATAACTATAAGGAGGTAACTTCAACTTATAAACTTGAAATTATTTATTTGGTCATATTTTTACTTCATGTGCTTAAAGAATTTGTTTTTTTTTATAGCAAAAAGAAACTGAACTTAATAAGGTGATAGCTCAACTAAGTGAATGTGACAAACACAAAGAAAAGATAAGTAAAGAAATGGGAACAATGAGGCAAGACATTGATACACAGAAGGTAGGTCTTTTTATATTCAATGTACACACATGAAAATGGAATCACAGAAGCGAGGGTGTGGTGAGGCTGGGAAAGATGAGGAAGATGAATCATGATACTTATAAATTGACACACTGAGCTGAAATCCCTTTGTGCAACTACTTTAAAAATAAGTGAATCTTTTGCTCACAGCATCTGTAACATTCTTTTTTGTATTTTATTTCATTCATTCATTCATTTATTTATTTATTTTTATTTGCCAGTTATGAGGCTTGAACTCAGGGCCTGGGTGCTGTCCCTGAGTCTCTTTGTGCTCAAGGTTAGCACTCTACCACTTGAGCTACAGCGCCACTTCTAGCTTTTTCTGTTTAGGTGGTACTGAGGAATTGAACTCAGGGCTTTCTGCATGCTAGGTAAGCACTCTACCACTAAGCCACATTCCCAGCCGTATATTTCATTTTATTATAATAGATGGTATTATTAAGTCAGTGGAAATACAGAGAAAAGCAATTCCAGTAAAATTATTTTTCATTTTGATTTTTAATACAAGGTCTATATGGTAAAAGTTTAAACATAAAGACATAAAATTAAGTGTTCCTCTCCTTCTAGTTCCAGGTCTTAGTTCCTTGGTGTTATTACTATTAGTATGTATGTGTGTGTGTATATACATATACTGGGGCTTTTCTTAACTCAGGGCTTGATTACTATCCCTGAGCTCTTTTGCTCAAGGCTAGTGGTCTACCACTTGAGCCACAGCTCCAGTTCTGGCTTTTTTGTTAGTTAATTGGAGATTAAGAGTCTTGCAGACTTTCCTGCTGAGACTGGCTTTGAACTTCAGTCCTCAGATCTCAGCTATCTGAGTAACTAGGTTTATAGATGTATGCCATTGGTGCCTGGTTCTTGTTCTTAAAAGATTTTTATTCATCAGCAGCAGACCATAAGTTTATAATTGTGTGTATAACCTTTACAGACGGGATTATATCATGCATTGTTTTTTTTTTTT